AAAAAAAGAAAACAAAAAAAAATTTATTTCAGTGAAATTAATTTTTTATTTAAAATTTCTTTTTGTTTTGTCATGCTTAAAACATACTTCCCTACTCTATACTTAAAACATACTTCCCTACTCTATACTTAAAACAACAACTGAAACCATCATTCTAAAAGCAAGTGACACTTGGCTGAAGTCCAACTTCTGCACAGGATGAATGCAGGGTGCAAGTAAGTGTGGCCTATACCTGGCACTCACAGCAACTTGAGTCTGTCTCACAAACAGTCATATGATGCTTTCATGCCATGGATGATTGAGTAATCTCTTATACAGTTTAATATGTATGTGTATGTGTGTATTTTTCTTCTTTTTTTGAGACAAAATCTCGCTCTGTTGGCCTGGCTAGAGTGCATTGTAGAGACGGGGTCTTGCTATGCTTCCCAAGGTGGTCTCAAACTCCTGGCCTCAAGCAAGTCTCCTGCCCCAGCCTCCCAATATGCTGGGATTACAGGCACGAGCCACTGTGCCTGGCCTATTTTTTTTTTTTATTATTAAAGACATCTTTCCATCTTGTTACTTTGGCATCAGGTCAGAAGCCACCCATTCAGGAAACTTTTTTTCTTTAGACAGGCTGTCTGTTGCCAAGGCTGGAGTACAGTGGCATGATCACAGCCCACTGCAGTCTCAACCCCCTGTGCTCAAGCATTCCTCCCACCTCAGCTCCCCAAGTAGCTATAACCATAGGTGTGCACCACCATGCCCAGCTGATTTCTGTAGAAACAAGGTTTCAACATGTTGCACAAGCTGGTCTCAAACTCCTGGGCTCAAGTGATCCACCTGCCTTGCCCTCCCAAAGTGCTGGGATTACAGACATGAGCCACCATGTCTGGTGAAACTTCAAACAATAGAAATAATACTCTTCAGTGCAAATGAGTAACTATTTCTTCAGCCTACAGGCTTTTATTCTGTGAAGATGAGGCTTATACATTTAAAAAAAAAAAAAAGAACTAAAACTTGTTTCTATCAGTTTAAAAAACACATAGCCAGCCTAGGCAAGATAGTGAGACCCAACACTACAAAATAAAATTTAAAATTAGCCAGACATGGTTGTGCATTCCTGTAGTCCCAGCTATATGGAGGCTGAGATGGGAGGATTGCTTGAGGCCAGGAGGTTGAGGTTGCAGTAAGCCATGATCACATCACTGTACTCCAGCCTAGGTGACAGAGACCTGTCCCCAAAAAAACCCACAGAATAGCCTTCTAAAATGAGACGTGTTAAAAATTATATTAAACTAGGCCGAGTGCAGTGGCTCACACCTGCAATCCCAGCACTTTGGGAGGCCAAGGCGGGTGGATCACCTGAGGTCAGGAGTTCGAAACCAGTCTGGCCAACATGGCGAAACCCTGTCTCTACTAAAAATACAAAAAATTAGCCAGGCATGGTGGCACATGCCTGTAATCCCAGCTACTTAGGAGGCTGAGGCAGGAGAATTGCTTGAACCTAGGAGGCAGAGGTTGCAGTCATTATTCATCAGTAAAGTGGAAATCAAAACCATTATACCATGTTACACCTTCAGAATGGAAAAACTGGAAAGATCTGACAATATCAAATGTGAGTGAGGATGTAGGACAGCTAATAGGGATGTAAATTCACATAACCACTTTGGAAAAATTTGGCATCATCCAATGAAATTGAAAACATGGTCACATTCTGAGAGAATGGAGGTAAAAAACTAAAAAAAAAAAAAAAAAAAAATTGAAAACATGAATTTCTATGTTCACCACTTCCCACTCCTGCATATTTATACGGCAAGGGCATTTGTGTGTAAGCACCAGGAATCATAGGAGAATCTTCACAGAAGCATGTTTCATGATTTAAAAAAACATTTGAAAAGAATTCAGGGCCGGGCACAGTGGCTCACACCTGTAATCCCAGCACTTTGGGAGGCTGAGGCAGGTGGATCACAAGATCAGGAGTTCGAAACCATCCTGGCCAACATGGTGAAACCCTGTCTCTACTAAAGATACAAAAAATTAGCTGGACATGGTGGCGCATGCCTGTAATCCCAGCTACCCAGGAGGCTGAGGCAGGAGAGTCACTTCAACCTGCGAGGCAGAGGTTGCAGTGAGCCAAGATTGCGCCATTGCACTCCAGCCTGAGCAACAAAGCGAGCCTCCACCTCAAAAAAAGAAAATTCAAAAAAAATAAAAAAAGAAAATTCAAATGTTCATAAACAGTATAGACTAGACATAAACTATGGCATTTTAACATAATGGAATATACTGCAGTGAAGATGATTGAATAACTGCTACACAGCAACATGATGGATCTCAAAAACATGCTGAGGGTGAAAACAAGTTCCAGAAGACTGTGCTCCATGAAACTATAGAAAGCTCAGAAACATGCATAACTAAATAAAACAATGTTTAAACCTAGGCACAATGGCTCACACCTGTAACCCCAGCACTTTGAGAGGCCAAGATGGGAGGATCACTTGATCCCAGGAGCTTGAGGCTGCAGTGAGCTATGATAGTAGCCACTGCACTCCAGCTTGGGTGACAGCACAAGACTCCATCCAAAAAGAAAAAAAAATCACTATTGTCCTCAGCACCTCTCACCTACCACCCATTCACACACAATCAGCTTGCAGAGCACTTGACTTGGCTCCCAGAAAGGTCTTCACCCCAGTCTTTCCTGCAGGAAAGTGCTGCTGCTCCTGCAGGCCTCATCTCTGGCCTAAACTTGGCAGCAGATTCCCATCATGTCCCTCTGCGCCTCCAGTCTTGTCCTTCCCACCCTTCCTCCACCCAGGGCATTCTCCAAGTGAAATTATCTTCCACAGGGCCAGGTGCGGTGGTTCACGCCTATAATCCCAGAACTTTGGGAAGCCAAAGTAGGTGAATCACTTGAGGTCAAGAGTTCAAGACCAGCCTGGCCAACATGGCAAAATGCCATCTCTACTAAAAATACAGCTGGGCATGGTGACATGCCATTGTAATCCCAGTTAGGAGGCTCAGACACAAGAATCGCTTGAACCCGGGAGGTGGAGGTTGCAATGAGCTGAGACTGCGCCACTGTGCTCCACCCTGGCGACAGAGCAAGACTGTCTCAAAAAAAAAAAAAAAAAAGGCATATACAAGTCTGTTGGCCTCCAGATGGCACCCCCACCCCCGACTTGCTCACAAGAGCTCATAACTCTCCCTGCCTGCCCAAGTGCTGCTGTCTACCCCACAAAACACCCACGTTGTGGTGTTGGCCTGCATGTAAGCTCTGTCCACATGAGGACTCTAGGGAGCGCAGGGCTCAGGCAGCACTGGGCTGTTTCCCAGCTGTTCTGTGCACTCCACACGGGTGTGACCTCAAACTGGAGTTTACACCTTTCTCTTAAACCTCACTATTAGTCTTGGCACATTCCTGTTTGGAAACATTATCTTCTGATTTCTAGTTGTTTGACACAGTTAATAGTGGTTCTGTTCCTCTCTAGTTCACATAGCCATGTGCATTGAGGGATTTTGCACCTTCATCAGCAAGGCCAGTTTCAGGGTTGCACTTGCTTTTCAGTTTTGAGTAGTGTTAACATTTTCATTTTGGATATGTTCTTTCAGAATATGAAACCAAGGCAGAGAATCAAAATACAGACTTGAGTCTGAAGCCATTAATTTCAGAGGAAACAGTGATTCTGGGGAAAACATCCTTGGGGAGGATTGATCAAGAAAATAATGAAACAAAGCGAAGCTTCTCTCTAAGTCCAAATTCTGTTGACCACCGTGAAATTCAGGTCTTAAGCCAAAGCGTACCACTCACTCCGCACCAGGCAGTGCCTAGTGGAGAGAGGCCCTACATGTGTGTTGAGTGTGGGAAGTGCTTTGGCCGGAGTTCCCACCTCCTTCAGCATCAGCGTATCCACACTGGAGAGAAGCCCTATGTGTGCAGTGTATGTGGGAAGGCCTTCAGCCAGAGCTCAGTACTTAGTAAACACAGAAGAATTCACACAGGTGAGAAGCCCTATGAGTGTAACGAGTGTGGAAAAGCCTTTAGAGTGAGCTCAGATCTTGCTCAGCATCACAAGATACACACGGGAGAGAAGCCTCATGAATGTCTTGAGTGTCGGAAAGCCTTCACTCAACTCTCACATCTCATTCAGCACCAGCGGATCCACACAGGAGAAAGGCCATATGTGTGTCCATTGTGTGGGAAAGCCTTCAACCATAGCACTGTCCTGCGGAGCCACCAGAGGGTACACACCGGGGAGAAGCCTCACAGGTGCAATGAATGTGGGAAAACTTTCAGTGTGAAAAGGACACTACTGCAGCACCAGAGGATCCACACCGGGGAGAAGCCCTACACATGCAGCGAGTGTGGGAAGGCCTTCAGTGACCGCTCAGTCCTCATTCAGCACCACAACGTGCACACTGGGGAGAAGCCCTATGAGTGCAGCGAATGTGGGAAGACCTTCAGCCACCGCTCTACCCTGATGAATCACGAGCGGATCCACACTGAGGAAAAACCCTATGCATGCTACGAATGCGGGAAGGCCTTCGTTCAGCACTCACACCTGATCCAGCACCAGAGAGTCCACACTGGGGAGAAGCCCTATGTGTGTGGTGAGTGCGGGCATGCCTTCAGTGCACGTCGGTCTCTAATCCAGCATGAGAGAATCCACACCGGTGAAAAGCCTTTCCAGTGCACAGAATGTGGCAAAGCCTTCAGCCTAAAAGCAACTCTGATTGTGCACCTGAGGACCCACACGGGCGAGAAGCCCTATGAGTGCAATAGCTGTGGGAAAGCCTTCAGCCAGTACTCAGTGCTCATCCAGCACCAGCGGATCCACACAGGTGAGAAGCCCTACGAGTGCGGGGAGTGTGGGCGCGCCTTCAACCAGCACGGCCACCTAATCCAGCACCAGAAAGTGCACAAGAAGTTGTGACCCGTGGCTGATAAAAGAATCCATCTCACAGAAACTGCACGTGGAACCGCAAGCAGCCTTCAGCCCAAAAGAAGTTTCTGTTAACTCTATAGGAATCCTTTCTTTGGTAATTCAGTGTCACAAAATAACTCCGAAAAGAAGCACTTGGCATGATGTTCCCGTGGAAAAATTTCAGACTACCTGTTTTTATTTTCCTCACCATCTTGAGGTTACATTGGAGAGTAATCATAGAATTGTAGTGAATTTTCGTAAAAACAGCCACAATTCTTTCTCTGACATTAGTTTATTTTAACTAAGGGAATTTAAGGCATAAGAACTATTGTTCCAATAAAATCTTCTTACATTCCAAATAAAGTTCTTTTTCTAAGAACATTACATGCCCTTCATAAATATCAATTAACCATACTGATTATTGCACTTAAAATTAGAAAATTTAATATTTTCAGTATTAAAACACTAAAGTGCTGTATGGATAAAGTGATACAAAAAGATTTTCATCAAGTATGTAAAATGGATGGAAATTCTAAGTGTGTGGAAACACCTGTTTTGTATAAAACAAAAGTCTAATGATATATTAGTGAGAAATTATGTAAATTTAGAAAGCTTTTTTTTTTTTTTT